CGCCTCGGTGGTCACAGCCTCGGCCTCCGTGTCCATGCCTGCAAAGGGGTTAAGGGGTGGGCGCTCGCAGCGGACTCGGCCTGCGACGAGAATGGGCCCGAGCGCCACCGCAGCGCCGCTGCTGCGCCACCTCCTCCCTCTAGGGTCAGTGCTCTTACCCCGCCCCCCGCAGCGCCTGCAGCTCTTCGGCCCACGACAGATCGCCTTCCCTCCGCACTCACCATCCGGGGCTCCGGCCGCCGCCATGATGATTGTGTACAACACCCACCGCTCCCGCAGGGGCCGCCGGGAAGAAGCGAGCTGGCTGAGATTGGCCCCCGCAACAGCCCCTAATTTCACCCAGCCTGGCCGGAAACAGGTGGAGGTTTCTATGGAGACCCGCCTCCTCCGCTTCCCGGGCCGGCCCCTGCCACGCTTTAGCATTCCCGCAGCCGAGGGGGGAGGGCCTGGGAAATCGCCCGCTCCCTGCACGCTGTCCCCTAGCGGCGGTGCCCTGTCTCAGCTGTCCACAGTGGACACTGAACAGCCCAGATCAGAGGCCGGCGCCTTTAAGGGGCGGGGCCGCTCTCGCTGTGGCGGAAGTTGATTGGTTAGAATGAGTTTCCCCCACCCACCCCGCCGCGCGGAAGTGATGAGCGGAGGAGCCCACGTGTGTGTTTCTATTTCACATGGCGGCGCTCCTCAAGAGGCTTCTGCGGGCCGATCCTCGCGCCGTGGCCCTAGGCCACAGCGTGGGATGCCGGGAGGCCAGTCTGGGCCCAGATCCCGGGGCCACGGTGCGAGTGCGCTTCGCTCCCAGCCCCACAGGTAATCCTGGCGGACGTGACGCGCGCGCCGCAGCCCACCCTCCTGTCTCCGCCCCCGAATGTTCCAGAAAGAGTGCCTTCCGGAGTCTGCGCGACCCCATTTTACAGAGACGGAAATGGAGGCCCAAGACCTGAAGTGATTCGGGTTCCTGGAAGTTTCTTTGTTGTATTGTCGCTGTTCTTTACTGTACTCAGCGTGTAGCGCATATAAATTGTGCCAAGGCCTATGCGCTACAATGCAGTGGTCATTGAAAAGTTAGGGTTCCTGCTTTGAGGAAACCGGCATTCTAGTGACCACGACAAACACAAGAATAATTTTGGAGTTGTATTTGTCACTTTGGAAATGGAGCCGGATAGGATGCCCTAGAAAGCATTACTGAAGTAAACGCTTGAGTTGAGAGCCAAATGTCGAGACCTGTTTGTAACCTAAGAGGAAATAGCACAGTGGCCCGGATTTATTATTGCTAAAAGCTTAGCAAGCCAAAGGAAAACAGGCCCAGTGTATACCCTGTTAGAAATACAGTCAATTTGCTGGGTGGTGGGGCGCACGCCTTTGTTTCCAGCACTCAGGAAGTAGAGACAGGCGTATCTCGAGGGAAACCTGTTCTACAGAGAGTTCCAGCACAGCCAGGGCTACATAGAGAAACTTGTCTCGGAAAACTAAAAAGAAAGAAAAAAGAAACATTGTCATCACCTACCCTCCTCACCACAAGTTCCCAACCTTCCTTTAACTTGAGTCACCTGCCCTCTTGACCCTGAGCGACCTTTCATTCCAGGCCCAAGGTCAGCTGAAAAAGATCATTGTAACAGAGTCCCAGCTGCACAAGAATGATACATTACTTCTGGCAGGCAATATAAGTCATGGAACTTTTTAAACTATATATAGTGGAAGCTCTGATTCTTAATTACCAGCTATGATTCTGTATTTAAGACTAATATAAATGAAACTACTAGGAAAAATGGGTATCTAGAAAACATAAAAAATAAAAGCTTCTTTCTTTTTGTTAAACTTAGTGGATATAAAATGGGTTACCAAATGGTTGTAAGTTTCTACCTCAACTCTCCCGTTTCTCTGTGACCTGTACTGCAATGCTAGCTAACCTTGTTTGAAGAAATAGGGCACCAAGACCTGGCATTTTCTGCATCTATATTTCTGCAATTGCCCATTCCTAGATGTGTCATTTTGGCAACGTTATCTGTTCTGTTTATGTTCTAGTTTTGCTATTTGTCAACTAGGGCTAATATTACCTGTCTGATGGTTTTGAGCCAGTGCATCTGAGCCACTCAGCAAGGTCGGCTATGTGTAGTAGTAGCCTTTTCTGCAATTATCATATTCATTTCTTTGCTCACTGGCAGGAAAAGCCTAAATGGCAAGGAGTTGTCAATCGGTGTAGATAGATCACTGTGATAACTAAAATTAATTGAAGGTTTAAATTTTTGTTTTGGTTTGGAAACAGCTTACTGAATCACCATGATTGGCCTAGAACTCAGACTTGCAGCAATCCTCCTGTTTCTGCCTTCCAGATACTAGAGTTACAGGTGTGAGTTACCAGACCTGACTTAAAGTTCTGCTTTGGTCAACATTTAGGTATCATAGCAACCTCATGATAAACCTCATGCTTTATTAAGACAGGACCTTTCTGTATTCCTGGCTGGCCTGGAACTTGCTGTATAGACCAGGCTGTTGCCTCAAACTTACACAGATTTACCTGCTTCTGCCTCCAGAGTGGTAAAGGTTTATACCAACAGGTCCAGCCTGATTTTTTGTTTTAAGCCTACTAACATCAGTAAATTGAAACTTGTGAAAGCTAAACGAATTCCCAAAGGAATTAGAAACTTCTTAATGATGGACTGAGAATTCTCTTTTAGATTTCATGTATGGGCTCTTTTAAAATTTCATTCAGTGATGAGAAAGAGTCAGTGAACCTGGAGCTCATTGATTCGACTAAACTGACTGGTCAGTGGACTGCCAGTGCTGGATTTAACAGCTGGATGTTTGGCATTTATGTGGGCACTGGTGATCCAAACTCTGGTAGTCATGCTCCTGTAGCAGTAACTTTATTGGCAAGAGCCATTTACCTTGCCCCTGAATGTAGACTTTGAATCCAGCTGTATATGATGTGAGGGGTGTTATTTTCAGTTTTTGGTCTCCTCTGTTTTGAAGTTCCTGAGACTCAGTTCCATTGAGAACTACTTGTTTTTTGGGTTTGCTATAATTTGCTGAAGGTCTCAGATAGAATCAGTGTTGAGCCAAGTCTGCCTGGGACCCAGAACATTTCCTGTCCCATGCTGCCTTAGGTACCTGGAAATGCAGATGAGGTCATTATAAATGTAAATGACCTGATAGTGGAGATCCTGGGCCCTGGGCTGGACCAAAGAAAGTAGAGGAAAGAGGAAGTGACAGACCTGGGTAATTTTGAAACTTTTAGTCAGTAGCAATACTTGTAGAGTTTAAACCCCAGTAAAGGGAAATATAGTGAAATTAAATGTTACTTTTAATTATAATCACTTATAGCTAGCGATTATGGTGAAAATCTCAAGTAGGAAAAACTGAAATTGCATGATGTGGCTAAGTATCATATGTAGAGTACAGATGAAAAATGTAGTTTTTAAAATAGGATTTAGATGTGTTACTAACATGATGTTAGCCACCCTCTCCCCCTGGAATAGATCAGTAGATTTATAAAACTTAAATGCTAGTGTGATCTGGCGTCTGTAAATAATTTTCAGATGGATATTTTCAAGTAGATAAAGAATGCTGTTTCTCCTTCTGGTGAAACTTTGCCTTGAGGCAAATGTCAAAGTTGAGTGCTGAGGGTGCTCAGGAAGAGTTGGAGCATTTTTATGTGATGACAAGCTCTTAGACCTGACACCTGGGTGTTCTTCCATTCCCAAGATGAAGGACTGAGTGGAGTCAGCTACCCTGCTTTACTTTTCCTTTTTGTTGTCATTACGATTTATTTACTTTATGTTACGAGTAATTTGTCTGCATGTGTGTATGTGTACCACACCTATGTGTGGGACTTGCTGAGGTCAGAAGATTGTGATTGCTGGAACTGGAGTTACAGACAGTTATGAGGCACCATGTAGATGCTGGGTGCTGAACCTGGGTCCTCTGCAAGAGCATCCATTGCTTGTAACCATTGGGCCATTTCTCCATCCCCACTGTGTTCTTTTCAGTGACAGTCTGTATGCGTGTCAACCAAAGAAATAGGACAGTCATGGCCATTTCTTGGTCTTAAAACTTCATTGGGACATTCTTTTTTTGGTTTTTAGAGACAGGGTTTCTCTGTATTGCTTTGGAGCCTGTCCTGCACTCACTCTGTAGACCAGGCTGGCCTCGAACTCACAGAGATCCACCTGCCTTTGCCTCCCAAGTGCTGGGATTAAAGGCATGTGCCACCAATGCCCAGTTCATTGGGACATTCTTATTTGTACTTCAACTGAGGCCCATGATCTAGTGTTTTCCCTGTTCTCTCTGACTTGTTATCTTCTACCAGGCTTCTTGCACCTGGGTGGCCTCCGGACTGCCCTCTACAACTACATCTTTGCCAAGAAGCACCAAGGGAGCTTCATTCTGAGGCTGGAGGACACTGATCAGAGCCGACTGGTACCAAGGGCAGCAGAAAACATTGAGGACATGCTGGAGTGGGCAGGTGAGGCTGGCAAGGAAGGAGTCTGAGGAGGAACCTGAAGCAGAGAAGGAGGCTGTGGATCTTCTCTGTGGGTTCAAGGTGGAGAATGAGAATTCCTGGGAAAATAGATAAATCTGCCCAGTCTGAGGTGACAGGTGCTCCCTGTTTAAAAAAAAAAAAAAAAACACGGCAGGGCTCTCTGAAGCCAAGATCTAAGGCTGCTGTGGAATACCTGCTCTTGTCTTAAGTTTGTTCCCTGAGAGACCAGGGTAGGAAACAGACTCCTGGGAAATAAACGACTAGACCTGTGGTGAACATGAAGAAGCAGGGTCTTCTGCAGAGGAGACGGTGCCTGTGAGTGCCAGCTCCTGTTCGCATGAGAATGTGACCTCAAATTGTCCAGCTTCACAGTTCTAAGGAGAACCAGAAAGCCGCCTAGAGGGAGAGGGAGAGCGCGCGCGCGCACACACACACACACATATACGCGTATGTATGTATGTATGTATTGAGATAGGGTCCCTCTATGTAGTCCTGGCATTCACTATGTCGACACGGCTGGCCTCAGACTCAAAGAGATTTTGTCTGCTTCTGCCTCCTGTGTACTAGAATTAAAGTTGACATATGCCACAGTGCCCGACTGAACACTCCCCCTCCTTTTTTTTCTTTGTCTTCTCCCTAACCCTTTTTTATCTTACTTTTGTTTTGTTTTCATTTATTTGTGTGTGTGGACTTGTGTGGACATCAGAGGACAACTTGCAGGAGTTGTTTCTCTCCTTCTATAATGTGGATTCTAGGGCTTGAACTCTAACTATCAGGCTTTGCTGAAAGAGTTATGACCCCTGAGCCACCTCAGTGGCCGCTTTTCTTTTTTTTTTTTTTTTTTTTTTTTTTTTTTTTTTTTTTTTTCCCACCCCCTTTTTTTTTTTCTTTTTTTTTTTTTTTAATGAACACTGTCCATTGTTAAGCCTAAGCTTGAATTTCTTTTATTTTTTTGAGACAGGGTTTCTTTGTGTAGCTTTGAACCTGTCCTGGAACTTGCTCTGTAGA